ACCCGGGGCCAGGCCGGCGCCCACGGTGGAGGAAGAGGGCGATGGAAGCGGCCCTGGGCTGGGCGGACCTGGGGGTCTTCGGACGCATGGACCTGCAGCCCGCCAGACTGCTGCTGCCTCGCCTGTTTGCGGATGGCCTGACAGGGGCCCCTCCCATCGGTTCTCCCGTGGGCAGGCCGAGCGGCCGGCCTCCCTCCTCCTCCGGGCAGTGAGTCCCACCCCCAGCCCTGCCGCGGGGCACCCGGCTCTGCGGAGGGGCGACCCACCGAGCGCGCAGCCTGGGCTTGAGTCCTGACCCTGGGCGTGGAGCTGTGACCTCCTGGCTTGTAGGCGACGCTCAACCACGGAGACACACTATTGGGGCAATGATACCTTTTTAATCTACATTTTGTCTTGTCTCTTTTTGCAATGATTTTGCAATGTCATTTTCCAGGGAGCAAAGAGAAAGCTCATCGAGTCCCTCCAGCACAGGTGGTCGGGAGGCAAATGGAGGCGGCTGTTTTACAGATGCTCCGGCTGGACTGCCCGGCACCGGTCACACCACCTCCGCTGTCAAGATGGCTGTCGGACTTGGAGAGAACTTGGTCGAGCTTCTTCCATCCGCCAGCTGGAGTTCCGGTGCACGTTGGGTGGTCGGGGCGGTGACCTCTAAGATGCCCCTTCTGATCCGTCGCCTGGTCACACCGCTGGCGGTTGCAGTTTATCTGGCCGACTCAGCCTTGCAGCCTGTTTACCCTCTTCCCTCAGCCCCTGTGATTCGCCCTCTCCGTGAGTGTCCTGGGTGTTCCTGACGCTGTTTGTGTGCCAGATGTCTGGCATTAACCTCACTACACAGAGAAGGAACTGCAAGTGACACCGAGGACACGCTCAGCTCACCCCGGCCCATGTTCCCACAACTCGACTTCCCCTCAGTCAGGTCCTGAAGGCACCCCGCCTCTCCAGTGCCACCCCGACAAGAGCGGAAGCGTGACAGAGGGAACATGGGAGAGTGTGGGGACCTCGGGGGTCACAGTGTCTTAGGTTAGCAATTTTTACAAACGATGTGGCCCTGGGAGTCCACGCCACTGTGCGGACTCCTGTGTCCCTGAGGGGCCCAGGGCCACGCCGCCTCACGGCCCTGACTCGGGGGCCGGGTCCAGGACAGCACATGCCTCTGTGTGTGTCAGGCGTGGGTGGGACCGAGTCCCTCAGTGGCCCACTGCCTGCCTCGTCCAGCTCCTGCGTGCCCACACCGGTGGCCCCTCCTCCACCGCTGGAGCAGCAGCACAGCATCTGTGTTCCAAAACGTCCCCAAGCCCCGGCTGCTGGTGTGGCTCAGGGGTTGAGTGTCGACCTAGGAACCAGGAGGTCATGGTTCGATTCCCAGTCAGGGCACAGGCCCGGGTTGCGTGTGGGCTCGATCCCCAGTGTGGGGCGTGCAGGAGGCAGGAGATCCATGATTCTCTCTCATCATTGATGTTTCTTGCACTCTCTCCCTCTCCATTCCTCTCTGCTCTCTGAAGTCTATATACATAAATATATACATATATATATACATACATATATGTATATATATAGACTAGAGGCCTGTTGCACGAAGAGATTCGTGAATAGGCCTTCCCTTCCCTTGGCTGCTGGCACCAGTTTTCCTCTGGCACCCGGGACCCAGGCCTTCGCTCTGGCTGGGCTCTGGCCAGAGCCCCCTCCCCCCAGCCGTCAGGCTTCGCTGCTCCACCAATCCCGTGGCCGTGAGGCCTCGCTGCTCGGCAGGCTTGGGGTACGTTTAGCTTCGCTCCACCGCTTAGAGCCTAGTATGCAAATTAATCACCATCTTTGTTGGCGGTTAATTTGCATATTGCCCTGATTAGCCAATGGGAAGCATAGCGAAGGTATGGTCAATTACCCTTTTTGTCTTTTATTAGATAGGATATATATATATATATATATACACACACACACACACACACACACACACACACGGAATAAAATTTGTCCCCAGGACTTGTTCCCGTCGGATGTGGTAGGTGACAGGGAGAGGCAGCTGCCTTCAAAGGAGAAGAGGGTAACTGTGCCGTGCAGGGCCGCACAGGGAAGCACCAGTGTTCGCCCACAGGCGGACTCAGGAGCCCAGAGAGGGTGGCCCAGAGTCCCGGTTGGGCTTTCACAGGAGGGGGAGGGGGAGTTCCATGCGGCATCGTGGGGAGGGAGGGCAGGGCCTCGCTGTCCAGGACCCGGCTTGGTGTCTGAGGTGCGATGGTGAACTGGTGGGTGCGGGCTCTGGATGGATTGATTTGCAATCAAAGGTGTTCACGGGGGAGTCTTAGCCGGCCCCAAGGACTGGTGGGCCATGGGCTTGGGGCAGTCTCTCCAGCACCAAGGCCCCAAGAATCAAGGATACAGAAAACCAGCAGATACAGTAGAGTCGGGCGGACAGACGGTGTGGGGAGGAGGGAACGTTTCTGCCTGTCTGGAGATGCAAGCCAGACTGTGTTTAAGAGAAAGACAATAGGTGTTTTGTTGAAGAGAAGAAAGAAGGGGAAAACCTGATGCTACTGTGACGGGGCCATCCCCGGGAGACGGCTGCCCAGACCGCGGGCCCTGCCTGGCTCCCTTCTCTCCTTTCAGCCGGAGAGAGACATGACCTTCATTTCCCAGGAGAAGGGGGAATAATGCACGCCCACCGCCCTCCCTCCACTCGTAGCCCTACCTCCTGTTTCCAGGGCCTGTGAGCACGAGCGTCTCCCTTTATGACAATCATTTCCGTGCGGCTGCCTCGCTTTATTGATGAAGACAAACCCTAGGTACACATTTCAGAACCATCTGCAAATCTCTGTTTAAAAATTTTAAAAAATATGTCTTTATTGATTTCAGAGAGAGAGAGAGAGAGAGAGAGAGAGAGAGAGAGAGAGAGAGAAACATCCATGATGAGAGAGAATCATCGATTGGATGCCTCCTGCACCCCCCACACTGGGGGTCCAGCCTGCAACCCAGGCCTGTGCCCTGACCGGGAATTGAACCGTGACCTCCTGGTTCAGAGGTCGATGCTCAACCACTGAGCCACGCTGGCTGGGCCAAACCTCTTCTCTGGAGTCTGCCCCTCCCCCGCAAGGATGACATTTAGAGCCCACTCGGATAATCTGAGATCATCCCCCGTGCGAGAGCCTTAACTTAATCACAGCCGCAAAGTCCCTTCACCGGAGTCACACTCAGGCCGGCGGGCCATCTCCGGTCACTCCCCTCACAGCCTCCACGTCGCTGTCACACGTTTTAATTCCCTGGGTATATCGCAAGCCCCACCCACACCATTGTCCAGGCCACTCCTCGGGAGGCTTCCTCTTGCGCCCTCCCTCCTGCCCCCCCCCCTCGGCCTGGTAGCCGTCTCTTCCCGGAAGGGCACGTCTCCTTCATGACTCCTCATGGCAGATGTTCTCAGAGTTTGTTTCTCTAAAATGTCTATTGGACCTTCTTCTTCTCCTTTTTTTTTTTTTTTTACAGAATTTCTGTGAGTTTACTTGAGCCATAGACCTTCATTTTTTTTTTTTTTTTAAATCCTCACCCCAGGATATTTTTCCATTGATTTTTAGAGAGAATGGAAGAGAGTGGGAGAGACAGAGAGAAACACATCGATTGGGTGCCTCCTGCACCAGGGCCTGTGCCGGGGAGGAGCCTGCAACTGAGGTACATGCCCTTGACCGGAATCAAACCCGGGACCCTTCAGTCCGCAGGTGGACACTCTGTCCACTGAGCCACACTGGCCAAGGCGAGCTTCATTTTTTAAGCACATTTCTTTTTGCTGGATTTCGAATTCCAGGCTTGCAGTCACTTACTCTTAGGATGTGGAGGTTCTCCCTTCCAGGCCGGAGGTGTCAGCACCCAGGGCTGTGCCTGATGCAGGTGGCAGGCCTCCTGTCCATCGGGCAGGCCTCCTGTCCAGCTGCACCGGCAGCCCTGTCTGTCCATCTCCTGCTTTATCGCCACGACCACACAGTACTTCCTGGTTCTGCAGCTGACGTATCCATCGCTTTTAGGAAATCATCAGCTCCTATCTCTTAAAATGCGGTCGTCATCAGCCTGCGGGACGGCAGGGTGGGGCCGCGCTGCCTGGAAGGGGCCGGCTGGCTGCCGGGTGGTGTGAGGCTGTATGACCCCCCTAGGGATGTGCAGTGTAAAGTGCGAACATCCCATGGGACTCCCCCCCTCACCCGCAGGTCGGGTCACCCCACTGCTCCTAGAAATGCCACTTGAGCCCGGCCCGCACGGCTCAGCGGTTGAGCATCCACCTAGGAACCAGGAGTTCACAGTGCCATTCCAGGTCAGGGCACAGGCCCGGATTGCGGGCTCGGTCCCCAGTGTGGGGCGTGCAGGAGGCAGCCGATCAGTGATTCCTTCTCATCACGGATGTTTCTCTCCCCCCCTCTCCCTTCCTCTCTGAAATCAATAAAAAAAATATTTTAAAAATTAAAAAAAAAAGAAAGAAATGTCACTTGGCTTCTTAGAGGCAGTTTGTCCTGGAGGGTGCCCGTGCCTTTACAACAGCCCCACTTTCAGAAAATGCCCCCCAAACCCGTGTCTGCTCCTCCCACACATCCAACCGTCCGCTGGTCCTAGACGCCCACGGTGCCCCCTCTCCCTCCGCCCCCCAGCAGGCCGCCCTTGCCCCATCCGCCCCTCCCGGCCCCCGGGGCTGCTTCCGACGCAGCCACAGAGCTGGGCTCGCCCTCGTGCTGCTGACCAGAGGCCCGGCTGCCAAGGGTTCCGCGCGTGGCCGGGGACTAGACTGTCATCCTGGGGGGCGGGGCAGAGGGGGCGGGGAGGAACCTTCCAGGGGAACAGCCATCCAACCTCGCGGCGCTGGAGCCCAGAGAGACCCCGCCCGGGGTCGCCCGGCCCCGCCCACCGGAGCCACACCCGCCCCGCCCCCTCTGCGCTGTCCCCGCCCACCTCCCGCACCCCGCCCCGAAGCCCCGCCCCAGCCCCGACGGCCGGGCGCGAGGGTCCGCCCCTCGATGGCGTCAGGAGGCCCGCGACCCGGAGGCGGAACCGCCGGGCATAGCGCAGATCTCGGCTCCGGGAGCGCAGAGGACCCCGCGGGCTTGCAGGGGCCCGGGTGTCCCCGCGCCGCGCCCGGCCATGCGCGCCCTCGCCCCCGCCCCCGCCGTGCGCCCCCCGAAGCCCGGGGCGCTGCTGCTCGCGCTCCTGGTCGCGCTCCCGGCGGTTCTGGCCGAGGCCCCGCACCTGGTGCGCGTGGACGCGGCTCGCGCGCTGCGGCCCCTTCGGCCCTTCTGGAGGAGCACCGGCTTCTGGTGAGCGCCGCGGGGCCACGGACACGGGGCTGGGCGGCCCCTGCGCCCCTCCCGCCGAGCGCTCCTCTATCCTGAGCACGTGCCCGGCTCCCGCCTCTCCGGGACCCCCTTGTCGCGCGTGGAGAGACACAGGCTCCTGCGCCATAGCACACAGTAGGCGCTGCCAAGTGAGGAAGGCGCCCAGGCGCCCACTCCTTCCGCTGAGGCCCACCCTCACTCAGTGGGGGTCTCCTCTGTCCCCACTCCATGGGGCTTGGGGTGCCTCAGGGGTTTTCTAGCTGAGGGAGGACCCGGGTGGTGGAGGCCTGGGCCGGGCTCTGAGTTTGCCTGATGGCAGAGTCGGTGATGGGAGGCAGCCAGGCCTGGGAGGGCCTTGTCTCAGGACACTGTTCTGCCACCCACAGCCTCCCAGGGGCAGCCCCAGGGATGTAGGACATCCCTGCCCTGGGGCCTGTCCCCATCCCTGTGGGTCCCCAGCCCCCTCTGTGTCCGGCTTCGAGCTCAGCTCCGCAGCTGCCGCAGCAAGGAGCAGGGTGGGGGGAATGTAGTCCTCTCTCCTCGGGAGCCCCCGACCCCCAAACCTAAGACTGCATACCATTTCTGGCCTTGGGGGTCGTTGTGTCCCACCAAGGAGAGCGTCATTCACTTGCGGACACTTCCCCGTCTGTCTGCTGGAGCCGTCTCTGGCCGTGGCTCTGTCTGTGCCGATGTTCTGTGAGGCTGGTCTGTGGGCCTCCCTCGCGGAGACTAATGCTCCCACGCCCTTGTTCTGTCCCCAGCCCCCCACTGCCACACAGCCGGGCTGACCAGTTCGACCTCAGCTGGGACCAGCAGCTCAACCTGGCCTACGTGGGCGCCGTCCCTCATGGCGGCATCGAGCAGGTCCGGACCCACTGGCTGCTGGAGCTCGTCACGGCCAGGTGGGTGGTGGAGGGGTGGGCAGTCCGGAGCGGCTGGGCAGAGTCCACTGTATGGAGACAGGACCGAGGCTGTGTCCATGGAGGACAGTGCAGTGCGGCTGTTGGGGGGCACAGGGGGAGGGGAATCTGGCTCCCGGGAGCCCTCGTCCCCAAGCTTCCTAGCAAAGTGTCCTGTGGGGATGGGAGGAGGGAGGACGTCCTCCTGGCTCACGGGGCTGTGGGTGCTAGGCTGTCCGGGACGGGCACTGCTGGCTTCCTGCCGGTCACCTGGAGCTCAGAGTGGGGCTGGGTCCCGCTGCCCTGGCTCTGTGGCTAGACCGCTCCAGCGAGTATTCACACTTGGACCCTGTGCCAGGTTTTTAATTTTTATTATTTTTATTTTTATTGATTTCAGAGAGGAAGGGAGAGGGAGAGAGAGATAGAAACATCATTGATGAGAGAGAACCATTGACTGGCTGCCTCTTGCACGCCCCCCACTGGGGATCGAGCCTGCAACCCAGGCATGTGCCTTTGACCGGAATCAAACCCGGGACCTTTCAAGCCCACAGGCAGACGCTCTATCCACTGAGCCTAACCAGCTAGACATGTGCTGGGTGTTCGTGAGTCGGGCTGTGCAGGGATGTGGTGCCCACGGGCCGACTGAGGTTACGCTGGTCACACCAGGGCCTTGGGCCCTGCAGGCCTAGCCGGGGCCTGGGCCCAGGTGTAAGGGACACTTGGGTGTGTGTGTTGGGGGAGCTGCCAGAGACACAGACGCTCCGGCCCTGGCCAGAGCTCCCGCTCTCACCGGTGGGAGGGGCTGCGGGGGCCCAGGGTCCAGTGTCCTTCTGGCATCTTGCAGGCCACAGGGTTGTCTCGGGTCCTCGTTCAAATAAGACAGTAACACCGGGTGTCAGCCTGGCCCCCGCGACGCACAGTACCAGGATCCAGCTTCGCACAGAGGTGGCGTCTGTTTTAAAGGCTCCCTTGTCCCTCTCGGGAGGACATGGCACCATGCCCGGGAGGAGTCGGTCTGGGTGACTGGTGGTGAGGATGGTGCTGTGAGGGCTTCGGCGTGGCACCTCTGGGACTGGGTCTGGGCGGTGCCGCCTCCGCTACAGAGAGGAGTTGGCGGGCGCTGGCTCCCTGTGCCGGGCTCGGGCCGCCTGCACGGCGTCGTGCACGCTGTGGAGCAGCTGCGCCTCCTCCCCCGCGCCCTCCTGGCCGTGCCCCAGGAAGCCCCCTCTGCGCAGGGCATCCCTCACCGGGGGGCTGCAGCAGGCCAGCAGCAGGGCGATGCCCAGCGCCCCGTAGTCTCTTCGCAAGTCCCGCAGGGTGGCCAGGCCGGCCGCGTCCAGGAACAGCAGCGGGGCGCAGTCGATGACCACCGTGTGGAAGCTGGCCGCCGGTGCGGGCACCAGCGCGGCCGTGCTGCTCGCCGGGCCCCGGTCCTTGTCCCGGACGGGGCCGCCCTCGCTGACCAGGGGCTCCGGGCCCCGCCCCGCCCTCCCGGCAGCCGCGCGCCCTGCGTCCAGCCCCGTGAGGCTGTAGAGGGAGCTCAGGAAGAAGTCCTTGTTGGCGTAGCAGAGTGGCCCTGCGAAGCGGAACACCTGCACCCCGGGCTCAGGGACCAGGCCTTCGAACTCCGCCGTGTCCTCGTAGGAGCAGGAGCCCCCGATGCGGGCAAGCAGGGCGGCGCGGGGGCGCTGGGTGCGGCCGGCCAGGCTGAGCAGCGAGAGGAGCAGGCCCGCCAGCAGCCCACCCTCGGTGCTGACCAGCACGCAGGTGGCCGCCGTGGCCACCCAGACCAGCGCGTCGGCCCGGCTGAGCCGCCACAGCTGCGGGACGTCCCGGGCCTTGCGCAGGGCCCCCCGCAGACTGACGACGATGACGCAGGCCAGGACGCAGCGCTGCAGGTCCCGGAACAGCGGCGCCAGCCACAGCAGCACCAGCAGCACCACGGCGGCGCTGACCACGCTGGACAGCTGCGTGCGGCAGCCGGTGGCCGTCTTCACCAGGCTCTTGGCCAGGGCGGCGCTGGTGGTGAAGCAGTGGAAGAAGGCGGGCAGCACGTTGCAGCAGCCCACGGCCAGCAGCTCCTGGTCAGCGCGCACGGAGTAGCCGTGGCTGCGGGCAAACATCTCCGCCAGCGAGACGGAGAAGGCGGAGCCTACGAGGGCCAGGGGCACAGCGTCCAGTGCCACGCGCCACATCAGCTCCGGGTCCGGCACCCGTGGGGGCACGAAGCCGGTGGGGATGTCGCCGGCCACGCTGGAGCCGAAGCGGGCGTGGAGCTGCCCGAAGTGGGACACAAGCGTGGCCGCCACAATGACCAGCAGCTCCGTGGGCAGCGGCACCCTCAGGCGGTGCCGGCAGCGGTCCGAGAGCTCCTTGGCGGCCAGCAGCACGGCCAGGCACATGGCGCTGGTCAGCACGTCACACAGGTTGGCCTGCCCGGCGCTCTGCAGCAGGCTCAGCCACGTGCGGACCACCAGGCCCAGCCCCTGGTGCCGGGGCACCCGCACCCCCAGCAGGTGCCTCAGTTGGGACGTCAGGATGGTCACTGAGGCCCCCATGGCGAAGCCGTCAAGCAGTGGCTGCGAGAGGTAGGCGGACACGAAGCCCAGGCGCAGGACGCCCAGGAGGACCTGTGGGCAGAGGGTCGTGAGGGCAGTGGCTGTCCGTGGCGGCCAAAGGGGTGGCCGTGCAGAGGGCCTGGCCAGCCACGGGAAGGCACCTCCTGCCCCACAGCGGCACTGCCCCCTCCCGAGACCCAGAGCCAATGGAGGGGGCCTTGGGGCTGCGGTGGACAGGCCGGTACAGGAGAGAGCGGTATCGGGGGGCCCCAGGAAGGCAGGGAGCTCCCAGGGCCCCACCGGGGGCAGGAAGCCTGAGGAGGCCATGTGGGTTAGTCACACTCCGGCCACCTGTCCCGGCTCAGGCCGCCGCTGGCCACCAGGCTCCATGGGCCCTGGGCACCCTCAGCCCGGGCGCTCTGCCCTGGGCGCCATCTCAGGCCTACCTCTGCCCATCCTGTTCCTTCAAGGCTCCAGCCCTGTGCTTCCCCAGGCTTGGCCCTTCCGGGGCACAGTGAGCACCCAAAGGGGCTCCCCCAGCAGATCGGCGGGACTCCTGCGGCCGGCTCCTCACCTGGTAAATCCCAGCCATCAGCGTGAGGGCAGTGGCCACGCGAATGGCGTAGCAGTCGCGCCCGCAGTCCCGCAGCCCGGGTGCCAGGCTGGCCGCTGAGGCGTTGAGGGCGCTGCCGTTGTCCCCGGGCCCGGCGCCATCCTGGGCGGGGTCGAAACCAGCCAGCAGGAGCTCTCGGTCCACCACCTGTCCCACCATGAGGCAGAGCAGGCTGAAGATGCCCACAGAGACGTGGCGGGAGGTGCCCATGAGGAAGTAGATGAGGTTGGCGAAGAAGGACGTGTAGAGGCTGTAGACGGGCTGCAGCCCGGCCAGCAGCGAGTAGGCGATGGCCTGGGGCACCAGGATGATGCCGATGACCAGCCCGGACATGATGTCGCCCGCCAGGTCTTCCCGCAGGCTGTACCTGCGCAGCCAGCGGGTGGCAGGGAACAGGTCCTGCACCAGCGCCCACGCCCCCTGCGCGCTGCACACGCAGCTTCGCCGCAGCCTGGCCTTCAGCGTCCGGCGCAGGCCCGGGGGCGGCGGGGGCCGCCGGCGGACCAGCACCGGGGCTCCGCCCTGCTGCTCGGGGGACACGTCCATCATGGGGAGCGAGGCCCTCGGAAACCTGCCATGGAGACGTGGGTGTCAACCCTGGGGCTGTAGGAGGTTCGTCACGGACCCAGGCTCCGCCGCACCCCATCCAGGCCCAGGCCCTGCCCTCACCCCTCACGCTACGCCCCCTTCAGACTACCGAGCCCCCTTTGCCCTGTGGCCCTGGGGGGACGGAGGCCGGGGAGGGAGTGGCAGCCCTCGCCTCCTGCCAGGCCCCCTGGCACCTGCTTTGCTGTCCGTTCCGACTGCAGGGCCCTCTTTCCACGTGTGAGGCAGCGCTCCTGGTTTCGCCTCAAAATACACGGGTGCACCGTGCAACACGCGAGCTGGGCTGTGCCTGCCGTCTGGCCCAACCCTGTCCCCGCACTCGGCACAGCGAGCATGCCGGCCCGGCTGCTCAGCTCAGCCTTGGGCCCCTGACACTGCGCTCACAGTGACCTCACACCTGGTCACTCCCCTGTGCTGAGAGCACTGAGAGCTGGGCCAGGACATGGGGCCTCGACTGCCCGGGGCGTGGAGGGTGCGAGGCGTGGGCACAGCTCCTGTGGACTTCCGTGGTTCTTCCCTTCAGGGGACGGAGGAAAGCTGTTTCAGAGACCTCACCACAGGACCTGGGACTGGTTAGTGCCACCGGCCTTGAGGGTCCCCCACAGAAGCCTGGCCTTTCCTCTCCCCAGGGAGCCTTCAGGTCCACACAGGCCCCACAGGGCTCTTACCTGAGGGAACCCTCACGGGTCGGGCTCAGTGGGTAGTGAGGGCCTGTGGCTGTCTGTCCTCCTGGGCCCGGCTGGGTCTGCTGGCCAGCTGGACCCCGAGCCCAACTGCAGGCAGTGCTTGGTGGTTGGCTGGGCTGGCCATTAACTTATTTACCCCAGAGACTGCTGAGTCATGGGTTCCCCCAGACTTACCCCAGATGCGTGTGACCAGAGCGGCCAACCTGGGGGGTTGTGCTGTAATCAGAGGCCCCGAATAATTACATGTGTGGCCTCCGATAGGCTCCAGCCTCCCGGGAGGGGGCTGCAGGTGGGGGACGGGCTGCAGGTGGGGGACCAGCTGCAGGTTGGCGACCCACCGCCCGGGGCAGCGTGTGGCTGGGCAGGATGCTTGGGAGGAGGCCCTGGCACCCGGGACCCTAAAGAATGGGTATGGGCCAGCGGGGACCAGGGAAGGGATCCCCGACATCCTCCCTGTCCTGATGGGAGACAGGCTTGGTCCACCCTGGGACATGGCAAGGGCGTCCTGGCCTCTCTCTCTTCTGTCTGTGTGTTTTTTTA